GCCAGGACCTGGGCGGACCCATTGTCCCGCTGGGCGCCGGAGGCTGACGTTAGAGACCTCCGGGGCTCAGCCCCGGGAGCCTGAGGAAGGGGCCAAAATCGGCTGGCCGGACCAGCCAGCCTCAACATACGGAGCCAGGGGCTCCACAGACGACACTGCCCCAGGGCACCTTTTCAGCCCTTCCCTTCCTCCAGGACCCCTGTCCTGACCCCCTGCCACCCATAACCCAGCCCGGAGGTGCAGGAAGGACAGAGTAGCCTGTAGTGCCACATTCCTGACTTTCCACCCTCAGGGACTGATTTCTTTCTAATCCAGGCAAACAGCACCCCCAGGAGACCTAGTCTCTACCATACTGAGGCTCAGAAATCAACACAAATAGGTTTAATTTTATTACAGAAAGTTCTGCTTGATCAGGGGAGCCAGTCCCTTCAGGAGACAGCTGGAATGCTGGGCTTGGAGCCAGTGGCACCAGCAGGATCAGGTGGGGTCAAGCCTGGGGCTGAGAAGTTGGGGAGGCCCAGGAAGCTTGGGCTGATTTTGCTTCTTGAGATTGCATGAGGGACCCCCCAAATCTGTAGGTGCAGGGTGACCCAGAAGTAAGCTCAGGGCTGTGCTGCACCATGCCTGAGCCCTAAGGGAGGTGATGCAGGCCCCACAGGCAATATGTGCTGCTCACAGATACCTTACACACACATGGAACGCCTGTGACCACCCCCACAACAAGGGCCTCTCAGGACACCTCCTATGCATCCACACATACATGGACCCCTAGTACCACTCTCCACATAAACATGGGACTTCTCACAGCCACACACACACACGCGCATGGACACAGCCACAAACAAGCATGGACATGCAGGTCGTGGTGGCTCCTCCTGACCAGTGCCTCTTTGCCTGCTTCCAGCCACCTACACATCTGTGCTCTTGGAGCTGGACCTGGAGGCAGGGTAGGGCCGGTGTGTCAGGGACTCCCCCAGGCCCAGGCCTGCCCCAGCCCAGCCGCTTCTCCTCCCTACCGTAGCTTCTTCCGCAGAGTCTCATACTTCTCCTCCAGAACCTTGTTTTTCACTGACTGTGGGATGTCGGGCACAAACCATGCGGCAATGAGTTTGATGCACAGGGCGACATGCTGGGGGTGGGGGTGGCACAGGGCAGCAAGGTCAGGCTGAGTAAGGGCCAGGAGAAGACTGAAGAGAATGGTGCCCACTGAGACCCACCCCACTAGTTCTACCCACCTCAAAGAGGATGAGAAAGGCCAGGCGGATGGCCAGGAGGAACCAGAACTGCGCAGTAAGGTTGTAGTCCTCATCTCGGTAGTCTCGGTACCTGGGATAAAGAAGTACCTTGGTCAGGGTTCAGGAGCTCAGAGGGCATGCATGGGGTGGAGGGTTCCAAACCTGCACACAGTCACATTTTCTGAGCCCCGAATCTTCTTGGGGTCCTGGAAGTGCTTCGTGTGGAAGACAGAGAGGCTGTGGTTGACATAGCCAGTGAGGCAGCTGGGGAAGAGAAAGGAGGGTGGGCACAGAGTGCCTCATCCTTGGGGATGCTGCCCAGGAGCTGTAGTGTATCTGTTGAGATAGTCAGGGTGGGGCACAACCCAGCATCCTCGTTTCCCCCATACGTGGCCACTGGGGGCCAGGGGAGGCCATGGGGCCACTGGCTGCAGGGCTAAAGGGCACATTCCTGGGCTGTAACACAGTAGCCCTGGGGAGCCCAAGGAGTTGGACATATCTCTGCTTTGCCCTCCTCCCAGGGCAGAGCAGGGTCCAACTTGGGAGGGGAGCTGTTCTGGCTGAGCCTCAGTCTCCCATGGAGTCCATTGGTTATCCTGGGCTCCAGCCAGGTTCTGTGGGTTGGAAGGGCAGGGCAGGAAGTACCCCCAGTCTACCCCACTGCACCTGGGTGGCCCCAGGAGCATCCAGCTCCTTTCAGGAGAGAGGACCTGGGCTTAGCTGTGGTGGGTAGCTTCTCGGGGGCCTTACTCGACTTTTTGGTGGGGCTCCTTTTGGCATGGGCTGTCACGGTACTTGTAGATCACACGTGGGATGAACTCAGAGGTGAAGGCTATGACCATCCCATTGGCAATGACTGCCAGCACACCGATGGTCTCCAGTACCTGCAGCCATGTCCCTAGGCCATAGTAGTGAGGTACAGGGTATAGACCCTCAATCCCTGATCAACAGGTACCCCCAAGGCTGGCCTGTCTCAGCCCATGGCACCCTGTTACACCCATAGTAGGTGTGTTCTGCTCTAGGAGATCCCCAGCCAAGACAGGCATGGCATGGGCTCAGCTCTCCTGCACCACCCCTTCACCCTGACATGGATAGGGAGGGACACTCAAGTCCTCAACCTCCATCTTCCTTAACTGTTAAGGCCACCACCAGGCTTCTCCACCCCTGGGTCTCATCCAGGGCAGGACCACTAAACCTGAGCCTGAGGCCCGGTTCTTTCCCAAGACCTCTCCAGTTCCCCATGTTGAGCACCTCTGTTCCCCAATCCAGCCATCTCAAGGTTCTAGTTTGGGTGCTAGAGGCTCCTGCTCCCAGCTTCTGGCCCCAACCATAGGACCCCCATGTCCTGGAGTCCAGCTCCTCTGCCTGCCCACCATCTGGCTGCACATCCTTCGCCCAGATCCTAGTCGCTCTCAGGAAGGCCCTGCAAGGGGCATCCAGCTTGCCTTTTCCTGGGACAGAGCCCACAGGCTGAACTGGGCTGGGGAGAGTCTATGGAAGAGAGGGGGCTCCTGTCAAGGCTCTTCCCAGGCCCCTGACCACTGCCCCATCAGGCCCTGACCAATGTCCTTGGCCTTGCGTGGCACCAGCCGCTGGTGCAGCTGCACCATCTTGATGGCGTCCAGGCGGATTTCCACCATGTTGCTGAAGAGCGCAAGCAGTGGTGCCAGGGGGAAGGCGGCCACGAAGATGGTGGTGAAGCCATACTGGATCACTGTGATGGACATGCTTGTCACCCTGGGCTCCAGGGTCTGCCTGCCCTGCCCCAGCCCCCACCCAGCCCCACGCACTCATCTCCATGAACTCTTCAAACAGGGTGAAGGTAGTGACTGAGTTCAGGCGGTAGTTTCGCTGCCAGTCCCGGAGCTCAGGGTCACAGGCCCAGCAGCCCCACAGCACACGCCACTTATAGGCCAGCCACCTGTGGGTAGGGAGAGTGGTGGGCACAGATTGGGGAGGCAAGGGACAGAGCAAGGAGCAGGTAGGCGTGGGGTGCTCACGGCCACAGGTACTCCATGCAGTTGCTGAGCGTTTGCTTCAGGCCCATGATGATGGCCATCTGCACAAACAGGTCCATCATGCAGCCGCTGAGGTGGCACTGTGGGGGCCAGGGAGGGTCAGCATGAAGGTCAGGAGGGCACATGGGGACAAGGCAGCAAGTCTCAAGGTGGACTGACCTCCTCCAGCTTCCACAGGCCGGCCAGCCGCGTGGAATTCCCAGGGTGACCATTGATCCTAGGGAGAAAACTGAGCCCTGAGAACGAGTGCGGCCAGTGTCCTGCCCTGCAGGCAGGGTTGCAGTAGCCAGGGAGGGTGCGGGACAGAAAAGAAACAGGGCTGGTAGAGGCAGCAGCCCACACCTGAGTACCCACTCCTGGGGCTTACACGCTGTGTGGACAGCTCAGCCTCCAAACATAACTGCTCACAGGCTCAGACATATTCTGCACAAGGTCATCCAGGCCTGGCCTCAGCCTCTCCCTATGCACACACAGATACTTTATATATAAAATTATCTGCTTTCTGTACATGACCAAAAACCTAAACTATTTTAGCCCGGTATCGTGGCACACTCCCATAATCCTAGTTACTTGGAAGGCTGAGGCAGGAGGATCAGAGAAGTCAGAGGTGAGCCTCAACACCTTATCAAGACCCTGTGTCAAAAAATAAAAGGACTGGGGGTGTAGTTCAGAGGTGGAGCCCTTGGCTAGCACATGCAAGGTCCTGGGCTGACTCCCCAGTATGGCAAATACAGGCATACAATACATACAAAAATACACATACACACATATCTATAAACTTTTTTTTTTTTTTGTACCGGGGATGAAACTTGGGTCCCTGTGCTTTCGAAGCAGGCTCCAGAACCACTGAGCTAAATCCCTGGCTCTATAAACTAAAGAGGCATATGTTCAATGTTGAAATCCCAGACTCATCATCATTATAGTCATCATAATTTGGGGGGCAGTGCTGGAGAGAGAACCCAGGGACTTTTCACCGAGTGACATTCCCCCCTTTTTTTCTAATCTTTTGATACATAGTCTTGCTAAGTCACTAAGCTTCCCAGGCTGGGTTCAAGCTTGTGATCCCCCTGCCTCAGCCTCGTGGAGTCCTGGGGTTACAAGCATGTGGCACCATGCCCAGCTTCATGAAAACAATTATTTGACATGGTACTGGAATTACTGGCAAATAGGCAAGAGAAATATGAGGTGTAACTAACATAAATCTACAAAGGAAAATGTAACTGTTTTACAAAATATGTCATATAACTGGAAAATCAAAATAAATCAAATGAAACACTGAGTGGATAAATCTCCTGACAAGCACTCAGAGCGGCTGGAAAGCAGGCGTTGAGCAGAGCTGGCTTCTGAGTGTGCAGCCAAAGCCCTAGGGATGGTGCTTGAGAAAATTCCAGTCACAGACACCACAAGTATTGTGAAATGAGCAGAATGAAATGCGTGGGGCCCCGTGGGACCCACACAGAGAAAACGTGAGCCCTACTGAAAAATATGGGAAGACAAACCGAGAACCCCGTCCCCCACAAGAAGAGCCAGGGGACATCTGTGGTAGGAAGGATGAGGGGCCCCAAGACAAGGGCCGCTGATTCCTGGAGCCAGTGACTGGTCTCCCTCCCTGCAAGGAGCTCCCTCCAACAGGCCATACAAAGATGAGAGTCAGCTGACGTTACTGCAAGCTTTCTCAGTGGGGAACAGGGACTCGGCCTGGCATTTCTGACTTGGAGACAGAGAGAGCACCTCAATGCAGACATCCCTGCAGGTTTTTCCTAAAAGCAGCTTGAGTGCTTGCAGGACTGACCCACTCTGGTTGGGTGGGTGTCCATGACACACAAGGACACTGGTGACCCACCAGGCTGCAGGAGAATCACCTTTGAGGCCCAGGCTGGGGCATGCTCTATGTGTTATGAGCATGGATTATCTTTACATGTGAAAGAACAGTCTGGGCACTGGGAAGGAGAGACGAGCAGGAAAGAGCAGTGGAGGGAGTGACACACCTGCCCAAGATGAAGGCAACATAGATGAGGGAGGAAAAGTGGGCGAAGAACTGCAGTGTGAAGAACTTCACGGTGAACTTGCTCTCACGCTCTGAGAAGGTCCTGGGCTTCTCTGGAATGAGATGAGGCTGTTGTCGTCCAACCTAGTCCTCTCCAGACCACTAGGATCAGCACAGCCCCATGCATGACAGGAATCCCAGCCTATCTCTGATGGAGGCTCCAAGAACCTCAGCTGTGAACCCTCCCGTGCCCAGAGAGGGCAGGGCCATCCTCTCACCAAAGTCGCAAAGCTTCAGGGCCACACGCTTGTTGACCTGTGAGCAGAGGGCACTGAGTGGCTCATCTGGGCCATGAGGACCCCCACTACCCCCCTTTCCTGTCCCCACCTCAGTCATGATAACGATGGTCAGGTAGTGCACCAGGGCCCCAGTCACCACCACAGCTGTGGTCACCTGGTTTTCCAGGAAAGGCCAAGCCAAGTTGCTGAAGAGGGCAGCAGCCAGCACGCGGTAGACCACCAGCAAGTGTGCCATGCCAATCATGAGGCAGATCTGCAGAGGGGAGGCTGGTGGGTGGGCACGGAGGGCTGCACAGATGGGTGTCCAGCCCCCATAAGCCCCTAGGTACCATGAGCAGAGACAGGACCAGGATGATGGTGCTACGTAGGAAGGAGTGCTGGTGCGGCCGGAGCTTGTAGTCAGGGCAGTTAATGAGCTCAAGCACCATTTCTTCCTGGGGAGGTCACCAGATATGTCTCAGACATAACCCATGTCTCAGACACGTGACATGTTCCTCAGACATGGGACATGTTCTTCAGGCATGAGGACGATGCCTCAGACATGGGACATTTTCCTCAGACACAGAGACATGTTCCTCAGACATGAAGACAATGCTCAAACACGAGACATTTTCCTCAGACAAGGGGGATGTGTTCCTCAAACATAGGGGCATGTTCCTCAGACACAAGGACAATGCCTCAGACACAAGACACTAAAAGCTGACGGCCTGGGCCACTATCCCTGCCTTACCTGGTCCTCGTCCCACCCGTACAGGTCCCAGTGCAGGACCACACTCGCTCGCTGCCGCTTCCAGAACTCCAGGAACATGGTGGCTGTAGTGGGGTGTGGAGAGCTTCGTGGTGGGGGAGGGCGACCTGGAGCTCAAGCTGACCATCCCCCAGCTCTCCGGGTGGGTCTGCAGCAACTTACCCCACAAAGCCATGAAGATGGCAAACAGCACAGTCCCCTCGTTGTCAAAGAGGTGAGTGATCTAGGGAGAGGGGTGATGTGGGCTTGGGGTCAGCCCCCACCTGCATCCCCCAGGCCAGGGGAGTCCACTTTGGGGCATGAACCATGCTGCCCTTCTCAGGCCCTGGGGACCCTAGCAGCAAACCTTTGCAAAAGTACAGGTGACTGAGAGTGGCTGGTAGCTGTTGCTGTCACCAATAGGACACATGAAGATGTCGTCAGCCTCACAGATCTCCTTGCTGGAGGCAGGGACAAAGATGGCACCAGCTCTTCCCAGATACCCCAACCTGGCTCTCCCTGGGCCTGGCCCCCAGCCCACCTGATCTGGCTGGAGTTAAACAGAGCAAACCCGCTCAGAAAGACGATGAGGCCCACCACAGCAGCAGGCACCAGCATGTAGGTATACCAGCCGAGCCAGGCGAAGTACAGTGCCACTTTCTCACCAAAGTAGTCTCTACAAGAAAGCTGGCCTGTCAGACACACACTCCACCAAGGCAGCCATCACAGGGGCTGGCAACTGGCTTGGAGTAGCCTCACAGAGAAAGGGAGACTGTGTAGGACCAAGCATCTGAGTATGTAGCACGAACAGGTTTGCATAGGCACAGGTGCACCTGAGGGGGGATAGGTATGCCCATGGGATGAACAAGTGTGCTTGGGGGGGACAGGTGCACCCATGGGAGGGACAAGTATGCCTGTAGAGTCATGGGTATATCTCCTGCAGGCACAGATGGCCTGTTACCTGATAGCATCAATTGGCTGCTCCTGGAGCATGTTTCTCCACCGGGCCCACTTCGTCTTCAGGTCTTCCTCCCCCTGGGTGGGTGACGGACAGTGAGCACTTCCTGTTTAGGGTCCAGCCCTCAGCCCACTCCCAGCTCGCTCAACCCTCACCCTGTGCAGGGGGAACTTGGTCTCAAAGACCCCATCTTTCACCAAGTCCTCGAAGGAGTCTGGGGGTCACGAGAGTTCATGTCAGAGGGCAGTTGGAACAAAGGAGGAACCTTCGGGTCAGCACCATCCCAGCCACCTGCCCATCTGCTCTCACCACCAGCTGCTGTCTTGCTGTTCAGAACAAAGTTCACAATTCGGATTCTGAAACCCAAAAGTAGAGTCAGGACAGTCCTGTGAAACCTCAGGGGGCCCAGTCAGCTGGGACCCTCCCCACTTCCATTCCTCCCCTCACCTGATCGGCCCCAGCCATGGCCTCCAGGGTGGGCACTGCTGGGTTCCCTTGTCCCCGCTGCACTCCTGTGTGTGCAGCCCTCCCTTAGGCCTGGCTGAGAGCCCCCAACTGTGCCCCCTGCCAGCTCTGCATGTGTCCCCAATACCCCTGACAGCCATCTTGCCTATATGGAGACAGGCTCAGAGCAGCAAACATCTTTTACCAGTGTCCCATGAACAGGCCCAGCTGAGCTCTGAGGGCCTGGCCAGGGCTAGGCAGGTGAGGAAAAAGACAAAGGGAGGGGATGTGCTGAGAGAAGTAGGTGCTTGGTGACCTTTGGAGCTGGGTGTCTGGGGACAGATGTGGAGAGCAGGGACATCTATCCAGCTGGACAGGAAGGTCTGGGAGATGACGGCCTCAGAGTCCAGGAGGGACAGCTGAGTCTAGGGCTCTCCAGTCCTGCTCACATTTTCCAGCTGGCTTAGACCCTGTGTCCCTGGGGAACACAGAATATTCCAAGCAGAAAGGACCATCATCCCTTATCAAGGGCTTGGACAGGAAGGCACAGAGCCCTGCTTACACAGGTGCTGTTGTCCTGCCTCAAGGGCTCAGGGAGTCCTCTGCTCTGCCTAGACCGGATGGGCTGGGCGCAGCTTCTCACCTTGTAGTAGCTGGGATAGTGGTCGGTCTGACCTTCTCCAGACTTGGGGCAGGACCTTCTGGCTCCATGAGGAGGGTACGGTACAAATCGAAGATCCTGTTGTCAGCTCGGATCCCATAAAACACATGTTTCTGGTCCTCTCTCACCTGGGGGTGGGCCACATGCCACCCTGTCTTCCACCGGGAGTTGCCCTCCCCCACCCTGGCCTAGCCCTGCCCTCTGCTGACTGCCACCCACCTTGACATGGAAGCCTCTTCTCTTCAGCTCCTCCAGAAACTGCTTCTGTCGCTCAACCTGCCTGAATCTCATCTCTGTGTGGTACTTGGCCACAAGGATGAAGTCCCACTGCTCAGAGGGCTCTGCCTGGAGAGGGAGTGTGGGATGAGGCCAGGCAGGGACCCAGGAGGAAGGGAGTAGAGGTCAGGGCCAGGCCATGGGAGGGGCCTTGTGGAACAGAGCTGGCACCCAGGGAGGGAGTTTTGGGATGGGGCCGGACCCACCTCACAAGTACTGATCTCCATCAGTGGGAAGCTGTCCCCTTCTGTCCCCACCAGGACCTGTAAGCTCTCTTCACCCTGAGGGGCAGACAAAGGGATGGGAGAAGGGAGGGCAAGTGGGTCCCTTACTGTGTTCTTTCTGCAGCCTCTAGACAGGTGCTCAGACTCCAGAGGTGTAAGGCAGCTCCACAGCTGGGACAGGCAGCCAGAAACAAGTCAGCAAATGTGTAAGTGCAGGTGGAGGCAAGGCCAAGGATGGCCACAAGTGGATGATAGGCCAGAAAGTAACAACGACCACCCCTAACCAACCAGTCCATGTGGAAACCTGCAGAAGGAGCCATCTATCAGGAGAGACGGCCCCTTTCCACAGAGGGAGGAGGTGCAGATAGGTGTCACAGCAGGGGAGCTGGTGAGCAGTGGGTGGGTGAAGAGACAGGGACCTTGGGGCATCAGGAAGGTGCAGGTCAGACCCTGTACTCCTACATTGCTGGACGTGCATGCAGTGAAGCACAAACTCAGGGAACGTTTCACACTGTGTTTAGACTTAGGCTCCTACACCCCCACTTGGCAGAGCAGCTAAGTGCACAACCGTTCACATTAATACTTTGGAGAGCCCGAAGCCACTGAGGGGGCTGGAACTCCAAGATGTGCTGAGCCCAGGAAGAGTCAGCCCAGGGAAAACAAGAGGCATGTGGGGTATGTCCCTGCCCCCGAAGACCCTGAGCTGGCTGTAGGACTTCAGGTGGCTGCTGTTAATTATGAATGGATCTCAGATCCAGCCAGTTCTCCCTCTTGCTGTGGGCTGGACTTGTGCTCAGAGAAGAATGTGGCAGGAGACAGCATCGCTTTGAAGAGGGGACCCCAGCAGACACTCTGACCAGGCCAGGTGGGCCAAGGTTGCCTGCAGTGTTAGGACATCAGGCAGCCTTGACAGGATGCTGGAAATAGGACACAACCCCTCCCCTAAACCAGTCCTTCTACAGTGAGAAGACCACAGGCAAGCTGAGAGGGACACATCAGGACATGCAAACACAGATTCAGGTCACCAGGAGGGTACTGAGCGACCCTCGCAAGGAGGGGAAAGGACACATGCAGGGGCGACACTGGTGTTGGGATCATCTGGAATCCTCTGAGCAGCGTGTCTTCATGAGACATGGCCATCAGAGGAAACCACACCATTTTCCTGACTCTGTCAAAGCTAAAACCATCTCACATAATAATATTTTTAAAAGCAAGATTCAAATGCTTACTTGCTACATAGTACAGTTTTGGCATTGTGAAAAGCAGGTAACAAAGCTTTGCTTTTCAGAAATAGTGTGGATGGGATAAAGCTGCAACATGATGGAGGAGTCAGGGCAGGGTTCTGCAGTCCCGGTGGGTGCTGGGTGCTCTGCAGGGAGGGGTAGACAGGACGGGTCACCAAGCAAGCTTTTTCCAAACATAGTGGGGGCGGTTGGGGAGACTCCAACAGCAGGGAGCCCTGGGCTAGTCGGATTGTGGGTGGTGGAACAGGCTGTGGAGACTGAGCCTGTCCATGCCCCACATGAGGGCCCTGGCAGCATCCTGGCTGGCAACTTCAGGGTTGGCACAGGAACCCTGTGCACCACCAGTCTCAGAGGGAACAGGCCTCTCTCGGCACCCTCCCTCTCCCTCACTGTGGCACATCACCCAAAGTGAAGCTGCTCTCCTGGCCACACAGTGGCCCGGGCCTGACCCTGTGCCACATCACCCCACAGCCAGGACCTTGCTCTTGCTGGTCCCCACCTGCATTTCCTGCCCTTCTCAACCACATTCCTGCCACCTCCTCCAGAAAGGGTCACTTGACTGCTCCAGCCAGTAGGCCCTCCAGGACTGCCAGTAATAAGGCCACTAAGTCACATTTGCATTTCAGATAAACAGCAGGTGCCAGGGGCCCAGGATTTAGCTCAGTGGTTCCGCCACCTGCCTTGCAGCACAAGGAGCCAAGTTCAATCCCCAGTACCAAAAAAAAAAAAAAAAAACCAAAAAAACCAACAAAACAAAAAAACATCAGGTGCCTTGTCTTTTTTCTTTTATTTAGTACTGGAGATTGAACTCAGGTCCTACAGGCTGAGCTACAAACCCCAGCTCTTTCTATTTTTCACTTTGAGACGGGTTTTCACTAAATTGCTAATTATTCAGGCTGGGCTTGAACTTTTCATCCTCCTGACCCAGCCTCCCAGAGTGTGAAGATTGCAGATAGGCACTACCACACCCGACTCAACAGATGCCTTTTCATGTAAGTATAACAATGATTGCCTGGGACATACCTATACAGAAAAAAAAATGGTTGTTTATCTGGAAATCCTTTTTTTTTTTTTAATCTGGAAATCTGTTCATGGCTTTGTGCTGCTGAGTCTGCACCCCTACTCCAGCCCTGCCTTGTCTGGACCACAGAAGCTGGAAAATGATTGTATCGGCAGCAGGGTGCTGTGCATGTGCTCTGAGGGGCCTGAAGCCACACTTTGCCCATCCTGGGTGTCCCCTCCCAAGGTGCAGTTCCCACTGTCCTCCACCCACCCCAGATTCCTGGGCTCCCTGGCTGCCACCCCCAGCACACAGAGCCTGGACTCAAGTGTGGCCTGCAGTAACTAAAACTTCTGCCAGGCGTGGTGGCACACGTCTATAATCCCAGCACTCAGGAGGCTGAGGCAGGAGGATTGCTGCGAGTTCAAGACCAACCGGGGCTACACAGTGAGTTCCAGGTCAGTCTCAACTACATAGTGAGACTCTGTCTCAAAAAACCAAAAAACGAGTTCAAGCAACCGGGGCTACACAGTGAGTTCCAGGTCAGTCTCAACTACATAGTGAGACTCTGTCTCAAAAAACCAAAAACAAAACAAAATAAAACTTCCCCAGTCCTGATTCGGGAAAAACCTGCACTCAGACAGGGGTGCAGACAGGGACGGCACCCCTCCATGGTCTCAGGAAAGGGGACAAAGTCTCAACCAGACATGACTGGCCAGGAGCTCTGGTGTCGCCAGTCAACCCACTGAGCAGTTCAGCAGGTGAGTTGGTGAGTGAAATGGGTCTTCATGCGTTTAAATTTGGCCTTGGGAAGGACCCCCCCATCCAGAACCCCTTGACGCCAGCCCAAAGCTACAAAACATGTAGGACAAGTAAGGGGGTCATGAGACCAGAGTGGAGTTTGGAGACAAGGCTAAGGAGGAGTCTGAGACAAGGAGCAACCTGAGGCCATTCTGAGAGGCTATCCCTGGCGAGCCCCAGCAATGAGGCACGGAGAACTAGGGGCTGTGGAATGCCAGGCCCAGCCTTACCATCAGCAGACCTGAGAGGACAGCCAGCCCTGGCTCTGATGTTCCCAACCCTCTCCTGAGCCTTAGTTTCCTCATCTGTAGCATGGTGTGGCATCACTCCTACTTCACAGTCACCTAATGATAGGCACAGGCAGGAAGAGGATGGACAAGGCCACACACCTGGCCATGGGGCTTCATGTGTCCTCCCCTCCCACCCACCGACTTTACAGGCCAGGCTCCTGGTGTACCAAACTGTTGTGTGGGGCTGAGAGCCAATGGTGCAACCTCTGGAACCCAGGGATCAGAGCTCCTAGCCACCGCTGTATAGAACAACAGTGCTGGGATCCTGCTTCCACGGTCACTTGGCTAGCCTCCAGGTCAGGGAGGGCAGAGGGGCCAGCTGTGCAGCTCTGACGCTCTCCAGCACCAACCAGGCCCAGCCAGTGGGCCACACAATGCACACGTGTGTACGTCCCAGCTGCACACCTGTGGCCTCGTCACCCTGCCTGAAGGCCCCTCATCCCTCACGTCACAGTCAGACCTGGTGCATTCTGCAGTGTCCTCATCCACAGGGGGGACCCTGTACCCTCCCTGCTGTGCAGAATCCACCCTCACCGCCTGGGGCACCCAGCGGGGCCCTCTTTCCACCTGCCCTATGTGTCCTGCCTCCCTCCAGGGTCCAGCACCACCTGCCATCGGTCAGCTCATCTTTCCCTGCCCCTGCCCAGATGATGAGGTAGCTTGTTCCAAGAATCATGAGTGGACACCAAAGGCTGGAGGGGTGGTGGCTACTGGGAGGGTGGTGACCCAGAGCTTGGCCTTGTAGGGCAAGAGGTTGGCAGAAGGCAAGTATGGGCAGCATTCCTGGGAGAGAAATATGTGTGTGGGCTGTTTCTGAGAGGCAAGGTACAGTTGGTGCCTGGGACTCTGTTCTCAGCACTTCCAGGGTCTCAGTCCTTAACACCTCTGAGAATTGATAGCTACTACTTGTTGTGACCAACTACTCAGCACCTCTGAGGGCTTGGTAGTTACTATTCTCAGGGACTCAGTCCTCAACACTTTCAAGGACTCAGTCCTCAGCACCTTTGGAAACTTGGCAGTTACCACTCCTCAGCACAGTCCTCAGCACTTCAGCTTTGCAGAAGCATAAAGGGCAAGAAGGGAGCCACCAGGAGATGAAGCTGGAGGTGAGCAGAAGCCAGATCAGGGAAGGCTGCTCTCAGGGAGCTTGGAGCTCAGCAGAAGCAATGGGGAGCCACAGAAAAAAACCTGACAGGAAGCACCAGTCCTCTGAGTTACCAAGGACTGATATGCTCACTCAGCAAGCAGGGGCTGCTCCCCACCTACCTAGCCAGCCCAGTCTCTCCTTGCTCTCTTGGGCAGCAGGGCTGACAGGAGGACACTGGGGCCACACTAAGCAGCAGGTGCCAGAGCTGGATGTGGGCAGAGACGGAAGGAGTAACCAGCCTCAGCCACATCTAGAGGCTGGGGCTAAGAGGAGGCTGGTTTCACTCTCCTCCTCTCTGGGACTCCTCCCTAGGTCTGCCAGGTGCTGGCCCCTGAGCAGGTGACCTCCTCCCTGCCAGGGAGGAGAAAGCCCATTGTCCTGGAGGTCTCCTGTGCCCCAGCCCTTTACTGTGCATAGCAGACTCAGCATCCTGCATCCCAAAGGGGGCCTGCAGAGCCTGGCTGGACACTTGGGCGCCAGCACCTGGAGCCCACAGGCCACCAGGGCACAGGTAAGGGACAGCAGCAGGTCAGCCCCAGGCACCTGAAGGACTCACACAGGAGTCCCTGGAGCCCAACCCTGGGATCTCTAAAACTGCAGGGAGTAGGGAGAGCCACCCTCCTGGGTTCTGCCCAGGGTCCCTCACCCTGGCAGGCTTCCAGGACCCCCAGGGTATGTCCTACAAGACTAGGGGCAGAGCAGGCTGAGCTCACCTGCATGCTGGGCAAGGGCTGCCTGCCGATCCAAGGAGTCCACTGGGCTGGTGTGGTTCCAGTGCCTGCCACCCAGAGTGGCCGTCAGGTGCAGACAGTGCTGCCTACTTCCGTGTGGGGCCTGGCCTCTCTCCCCTTGCCGCACCCAGGAGTCCTGGGGAGGAGCCAGAGGCTGTCACACCACTCCCTCCAGAAAGGGACAAGTGGGAAAAGGATGTGCTGTAAACTAGGGTCATGACACCCTAGGCTAGAGGAAGTGGAGGAGCAGGGGACCCCCCCACAGAGACCCACCATGATGGTACCTCAGTCCGCTCAGAGCCCAGCCCCAGACCCAAACCTCCTCTCCATTCCCAAAGGGGAAACAGGCAAGAGGAGAGGAGAAATCCTGAGAGAACCTGACTTCCACAGGCCCAGGCCAGTGGTGACCCAGGGAGAAGGGATCTCGGGACAGTGATGGCATCCATGTCCCAGGCCAGCAGCCCATCCAAGGCAGCTACTGCTGACATGGAGCTGAGGAGTCACAGGGCCACCTGAGAAAGAGGACAGCATCCAAAGAGTGTGGTAACCACAGGGTCTGTGACAAGACAACATGTGTGGTAAAGGGGTCCTGAGGAGGTTTACTGGTCAGGGATGTGATGGATCACTCAGGGCAATGAAGGGTTTCTTAGCTTGGCTGGAAACTTAAGGACTCAGGGCTGTGGCAGGACACAAACACCAAAACGCACGGCTCAGCCACAGGAACGAGGGCACCCATGGTGTGGAAGTGGTGCAGAGCACCCACATGTGAGGGGTTGGGGACTCCCAGGTGTGAGGGTGGGGCAGCACCCAGGTGTGAGAGGGACATGGGCATCCTGTCAAGGTTCACTGTCAGCCTGGCGTCCTTCTCCCTGGTTACAGGCCTTGGCCTCCATATGTTCACCTGTGCTCCCAAAAGGTACCACATACCCCTCCGTGGTCAGAAAACTGAGGTGGCACAGGTAGGGACGGGAACTGGCATACAGGACTGTGCAGCTCTGCACAGCAAGCCCAGATGAAACCGAAATGGGAAGCCAGCTCATGTACTTCACCTGTAAGGAAGTCTGGAGTTGGCAGTCCATGACCGGCATGCTCTTGGCATGTGTGCGCACATGTGTGTATTACTGGAGATTGTACCCAGGGAGCAGTGAGTTACTTCCCTAGTCCTTTTTTATTTTTTGAAACAAGGTCTCACTAAATTGCTAAATTGCCCAGACTGGCCATGAACTTGTGATCCTCCCAAGCTAGCCTCCAAAGTAGCTGGGATTGTAGGTGTGTGCCACGAAGCACAGCTCAGAATCCCTTTAACGTGTTACTTAAACACCTGGTCTCACCACACAGTCTAAGATGGCTGTTCAAACCCCACGCATCACATCCACATTCCAGGCAGCAGGAGAGGAAAGGTGAAGGGCACCCCACCCTTCTGATGGCTAATCATATGACCACACCTTATTGCAAGTAAGCCTGGGGAGTAAGGATGAAAGCAAAGGACTTGGGGCACCTGCTCCCTCTGCAATGCTGAGTGAGAGTCCAGTCAGCAAGGGCTGTTGAGCACAGGAGTTCAAACTCGGGTCTGTACCACCAGTATCTCTCCCAGCCCCCAGCCTAAACTGCCACCATCAGGGATACTGTGTTTATATTTCTATTGTGCTACAACAACCTGCCAGCCACTCCCAGGTCTACCCCTCCCAGGGTGCCTGCACACTGCACTTTTTCAAGGACTTTACTGGGTTTTCCAGATTCTATTGCCTCAGAAACCAGATACCTTTCTCCTCATTTCCATCCTCCAAGGGCAGCACAAGAGGGAAACTAAACACTGCCGACCTACAGGAAGCTGGGCGCTGGCTTCTCCCACCTCAGCGTTCCACACTCAGGAAAGGGTGCAAAGTCAGTTTAAGCCTCCTGTGCCATCCAGGGAGCAGATAAGCCTGCAAGAAGCATCAAAGCCCTAACACTGCTGGTATTTCAGCCCATTTATCTCACCTTTTGTAAACTGTCCTAAGGGGGAAAATTAAAAATTAATGAAAATATATATAAATATGTCCTTTGCATCCAAAATCGTAAAGCACCTAGATATACAACAAACTCGTAACGCCTTTAGAAGCATTACTGCTGACTGACTTTATTATTGCATTACAGTATTTAAACCTTATTTTCCCCGGGCTCAATCTTAGGCTTTGGCCTCTTGTCTAGATCATGGCTGGGAGAAAGTAATGGTACTGAGGTGACTCCAGCAGGCAGTGCATCGGCACAGCTGCCCTGCCCTTCGTGGGGAGAACCTTGGTCAGGACACGTGGGACTCCTGCTCTTTCCTAGTGGACCCTAGACCTTGTCCTTCCTCCTCCACCAAGGGCAGCAAGGCTGCTGACGATGCCCACTTCTAGCCAGGGGCTGGTGTCCATCTGGAGAGTTCAGGATGCCAAGGTCCAAAGGTGCCCAAGGAACTCCCAGGCAGCAGTGGCACTGCCTGCTTTTACCTTCACTCTTGGGATCTTCACCCTATCCTCCTTCCTTGGGACACATCTAGCCAACCCAGTGGCCAGGGACAGGAGGCCTTCCAGAGGCAGCACCTCCAGGTGAGTCTGGTGGGTGTCCCGGGAACCCATTTTCTGTCTTCTTTCTAGCTATCCTGCGAATTTCCCAGCCGGAGGTCCTGCAGGGAGACCCCTCAGCAGGCAGGGCACCCTCAAGCAGGTGGCTGGGGCGGGGTGGGGGTGGGGTTGTCTCCCAGCAGGGACACTGTGTCTCTCTGCTCCTGCCTCGGTCCTGGAGCTCACAGTCCTACATGCAGGCTCGAGAAGGAGACCCTGGATGGCTCCCCTTCTCACAGTGCCACACTGGGGATGGAGTCACCGTGCTCTCCCGTCCTCGAAACTATTTTTAGACGGAATTTCCACTATTCCACCCTTTACCACCAGGAATGGAACCGAGGCCACGCCCACTGTCCCCAGCCGAACCGGCCGCTTCCTTTCCACCTTGCCTGTCCCAGTCCCCTTCCCGGGGGCCCGAGTACATGGGCAAGGCGGTGGCGAGAAGGAGCTGAACCCAGAGTCGCCGACATTTCTGTGCCTGATTCTCCAGCTCTAACGATGCAAAAATGGAACCGAACGAGTAGTGAAGATCTCAAGTTAGCGTTTTCAGGGCGCTGGAAATTCATCAGCACAGGGTCAAGGCTCGGTGGAGATTGGGAGCTAACGCGTAGGGTCCCTCCGGTATGCTAGCAGTCCAGGGCTCACAGAAGACGGGGCCCCCCAGACCCCGCCCCTCCTGCCCCTCGACCCCGCCCCCCTGCAGTGCGCCTGCGTCGGTTTCTCAGGTCGGGTCCTCAATAGAGATCCTCACGGACCAGCTCACTAGACTCCAGGCGACCCAGGGGCACTGCCCCGGCTGGGCGGCGGAGGGCAGCGGCCTACACCTCGGTCAGGATTCCAGAGTCTGTTAAGAGCATTTACGGGCTTGCAGCCCACCTTCATGCCCTCAGAGTACAGTACTTTCACAGGTAGGTTCGAGAAAGCTGCAAGTACCAAACCCTAACCAAAATGAGGTGGGGGCGTTGCTCGGAATCCCTATCCCTTGCGGGACACCTGCACTTTGCGCTGGTCTGGTCGAAGGCAGAACCCCTTTTGAGATGAGGTTTTCAGGTACTGTATACTGTGAGCAAGCCAGCCCCTGCAGTCAGTTCCTGAGATTAGGGCTTGCTTTCAAACCTGTTTCCCTGATTTCTTCTCTGTCTTTAAAGGTGGCCTTTTGTCTCAATTTCTTTGTCACTATGACAAGTGTACCCTGGGTTATGACTCCTTTGCTAGTCCCATTTTAAAAGTTTTGTTTTAGAAGGCATGTGAGAGATGAGTGTTTTCTTTCACATTAACTGGTGAACATTTTAATCATCTTTTTAGTACTCATTGCCCTCTGCTGAGTTAGAATCATCCTTGGTCTTCACATCTTTTTCATCTGAGTCCTTTCTTCCTGGGAATTCTTTCCAGATAGTTCTTGTAGGTTTAGCTTCGGGGGAGAAGTTTGAATTTTCTTAGGCAGGCTGGGCTGTAGCTTAAAGTAGATACTTGCCTAGTGTGTACAAAGGCCTGGGTTTGATCTCCAGCACTGAAGAAAAAAAAAAAAAAAGG